CAAGCCTCGCCGTCCGCGCAGTTTGAATTTCCGCGGCGAGTCGACCTTCGTGAGAGTTATCGTGAAGGCGCGTTACTCGCGGACTCGCGAGAATGCCCGTAGTTTCGCACGGAACCCGTAGACTCGCCAGAGACCCGCGGGCTCGCAGAGACCAGTAGATCTGTGCAGAAAGCCATAGACTCACGCCGTGCGTACGCGGTGCGGCCGTGTAGGCGACCCCAAGGCCGGCGTGCCACCGGCGCGGCTGCTGACGCCGGCCGTGGTGGAGGGCTGGTCCGACCTGGTGCACTGCCCGTCGCAGCGGCTGCTGGACCGCGTGGTGCGGCGCTACGCGGAAACACGCGACTCGGGCAGCTTCCTGCTCAAGAACCTCAAGGACTCGGAGAAAATCACCCTCCTCCTCACCATCGCGTTCAACCCCGAGCCGCTCGTCATGCAGGTGGAGGGAGACGGAGGAGGGAGGGGAGACGGAGGGGAGGAGGAGGAGGAGGAGGGGGAGGGTAGGGAGGAGAGGGGGAGGAGGGGGGGAGGGGGAGAAGGAGGGGGAGGAGGAGGGGGAGGAGGAGGAGGTGGAGGGGGGAGGAGGAGAAGGAGGGAGGGAAGGAGGGGGAGGAAGGGGGGGGAGGAGGGGGAGGAGGAGGAGGAGGGGGGGAAGGAGGGGGAGGGGGGGGAGGAGGAGGGGGAGGACGGAGGGGGAGGGGGAGGAGGAGGGGGAGGAGGAGGGGGAGGAGGAGGGAGAGGAGAAGGGGGAGGAGGAGGGGGAGGAGGAGGGGGAGACGATGACAGAGTTAATGAGACAGTCACAGACGGGCAGAGAAACCCAGAGAGACGCAATCTATAGACTGTGGAGCAGACCAGAGTAGAGTGAGATGAGAGGGGAGTGGTAGGAGAGTGTGTGGAGGGGAGTAGGAGAGTGAGCTGAGAGAGGAGAGCGTGGGGATGGTAGTAGAGTGAGAGGCAGGAGAGGGATGTGGGGGAGAGGACGGAGTTGGGAGGCAGTAGAGGAGAGAATTGCAGGAGTCCTCAATCTCAACCTGTCTTTGTTTCCCCGGTGCTTCTGTCGGTGCATCTGCACTCACACGCACACACACGCGACACACGCGCGACGGAAATAACTCGCTCTGCATTCCTCCCCGCCTCATATGCCCGTCCATTGTGTGCGTGCGTGCTTTGTGTGTGCGCGCGCGTGCGTGCGCGTATTGTTATTATCCTCGTGTACTCTGCATTCATGAATTTGGGTCGGTGCTTGTGTTAGCACTCGTGGCTAGTTAACTAAGGTTATGCTTCGTGGTGGGGCTAATGCTCTTGGCTAGTAAGTAACAGGTAGGGTCAGTGCAAGTGGCTCATTACTTGGGCTTAGGGGCATGGTGCGTGGGGTGGATATGCGATTAGGGTTGCGGGTTACATCTCGGTGGTCGGCAGGCAGGCAGGCCGAGCGCTCGCCGTCTCTGACCCGTGCCGCCACGGCGTCGCTAAGTAAGCGCTCGCGGTAATTGACTTGTGAGCTTTGGGCAGCCCTGTGCAGCAGCAGCAGCATCATCATCAGCACCGCCGTCACGACCTGTGTCTCGGGTGGAACGCGCTCGCAGCGTGAGCCGTCGGAGCAAAACCTGTCTACCGGGCACCACGCATGCACGCACGGGTGCTCGATGACAATTGTTCCTATATTTACCCTGCGCGCTTCTGCGGTGTGACATTGACACTGGGGGTAGCGCCGCGCTTGGCCCTTAGCGCAGTGGGCACAGCGAAGGCCAGCGAGGGTTGGTGGATTGCGCCTGTCAGTCTCTCCCCCCCTCTACCCGCGGGCGTCGAGGTCTTGCCAGCCCAGCAATTTCCATCAGCACGGGGATCGAGCGTTGCCCCCCCCCCCCCTCCGCTGTTCCGCTGCGAATTAGGCGGGGTGCGTTGTCGTAGTATCGAAACTTTTAAATTTGTTACGATTATTTTTAATTCTACCAGTTAAGGCCCACTGAGCTATGTAACTTCTTCTTCAGAAGCGACCTGACCACAAACGATAGCTCGCCAAAGTGGCTTGTCACGTGGAAATGTACAGCGGTAGCCAAATGCTCTAAACGCACGTTTCTAAATGTGGAGGGAAAAACCGGAAGACCCGGAGAAAAATTCACGCGACCACGGGGAGAACATGCAAACTCCAAATATACAGCAGCAGGCATCAGGGTCGGGATCGAACCCACAACCTCCTGTATACCTGGCGAGGTAGTTAACATCTCCTAGCCACCGTGATGATGATGAGAGAGAGACACGTAAACTCCAAATATACAGCAGGTGTCAGGGTCGGAATCGAACCCACAACCTCCTGCATACCAGGCGAGGTAGTTAACATCTCCTAGCCACCGTGATGATGATGAGAGAGCGACACGTAAACTCCAAATATACAGCAGGCGTCAGGGTCGGAATCGAACCCACAACCTCCTGCATACCAGGCGAGGTAGTTAACATCTCCTAGCCACCGTGATGATGATGAGAGAGAGACACGTAAACTCCAAATATACAGCAGGCGTTAGGGTCGGAATCGAACCCACAACCTCCTGCATACCAGGCGATGTTGTTAACATCTCCTAGCCACCGTGATGATGATGAGAGAGAGACGCAAACTCCAAATATACAGCAGCAGGCGTCAGGGTCGGGATCGAACCCACAACCTCCTGTATACCAGCGAGGTAGTTAACATCTCTTAGCCACCGTGGTTAACACACCCACCCGCAGCACTAACCAGGACGGCCTGCCAGATTCGACCCACGAGCCACTCCCAACAACTGCCGAGCATTCGAACGCTCGGCCACTTTGGCATCTATTGGCAAGATAATGAATTGCAATTGGGGGGTGAATGACGGGAGGGGAAGGGGGTTGGGAGGTTGTGCTCACGAGCCAGCTTCATGCTAGCCCTAACCAGAACCATAAACAGACCCCTAACCAGACCCCTAACCAGCCCCTTAACCAGACCTCTAACCAGACCTCTAACCAGAACACTAACCAAAGCCCTAAGCAGACCCCTAACCAACCAGCCAGACATTCCGTGCAACAATAGCCGGGTGGCGTGGTGGGGGTTTCATTCTTAGCGACCTCACGACCTTTGACCCGAGCGGCCGCGTGCTGATGTCGCGATCTCCAGCCGCATGCCTCATCGCCTGTTCCTTAAAATACAAAAACATAAAAAGAACTCGCGAAAGGACACCGCTGAGAATCCTGGCCTCCCATCTGGGTTTCAGCTGCACGACCACAGCAATTAAACCGGCTTCGCAAGTGCGGAAAGTTGATGGTTTCAGCCAGGTCACAAGTGACTTACGTAGAGACCCATAGATGTATGCAGAGACCCACAGACTCACACGGAGAGCTACAGACTCGCACAGAGACCCACAGACTCCTACAGAGACCCATAGACTCACACGGAGAGCCACAGACTCGCACAGAGACCCATAGACTCACACAGAGATCCACAGACTCACACAGAGACCCATAGACTCACACGGAGACCCATAGACTCACACATAGACCCACAAACTCACACAGAGACCCACCGACTCACACAGAGACCCACAGACTCACGCAGAGACCCACAGACTCACACAGAGACCCACAGACTCACACAGAGACTCACAGACTCACACAGACACCCACAGACTCACACAGAGACCCGTAGACTCACACAGAGACTGTGGCGTGCGTGTGTGCGTGTGCTAGAGCTTCCCTCCGGATGAGGGCTGGCCTCTGGCCAAGTACCTGGGTGCGTGTGGGCGGATTGTGGCCGAGAGCTACGTGGGGCCTCCGCTCTCCGACCTCCTGAGCTCGCCCTGGGAGAAACGTGTCGACCTCGCCTGGCAGGCGCGTCACGCACGCACCACCAAAACCACCATCACAACCATCTCCACAACCATCATCATCACCACTACCACCACCGTCAATCATCGCCACCACCATCACAGCTATCACCACCACCATCATAACCATCACCTCCGCCATCATCATCACCACCACCACCACCGTCAATCATCGCCACCATCATAACCATCACCACCGAAACCACCATCATAACCATCTCCACAACCAGCATCATCACCACCACCACCGTCAATCATCGCCACCACCGTCACAGCTATCACCACCACCATCATAACCATCACCACCGAAACCACCATCACAACCATCTCCGCAACCATCATCATCACCACCACCACCACCACCACCGTCAATCATCTCCACCACCATCACAGCTATCACCACCACCATCACAACCATCTCCACAACCAGCATCATCACCACCACCACCGTCAATCATCGCCGTCACCATCACAGCTATCACCACCACCATCATAACCATCACCACAATCATCATCACCACTACCACCACCGTCAATCATCACCACCACCGTCACAGCTATCACCACCACCATCATAACCATCACCACCGCCATCATCATCACCACCACCGTCAATCATCGCCACCATCATAACCATCACCACCGAAACCACCATCATAACCATCTCCACAACCATCATCATCATCACCGTCAATCATCTCCACCACCATCACAGCTATCACCACCACCATCATAACCATCTCCACAACCATCATCATCACCACCACCACCGTCAATCATCGCCACCACCATCACAGCTATCACCACCACCATCATAACCATCACCACTGCCATCAATCAACTCCACCACCATCATATTCATAATCACCGTCATAACCACCGCCACTATCATCCTAACCATCACCACCATCATAACCATCACCACCGTAACCACCTCCGCCACCATTGCCCCGTCCGCCACCACCTCCCGCAGGCCCTGGAGCTGGCGGAGCAGCTGAGCAACAACGACCTGGACTTTGGCCTCTACCTGCTGGACGTGCGAGCCGAGAGCTTCGGCGTGGGCACACGCGACGGGCGGCTCATCCTCACCGAGGCCTCGCGAGTCCTGGTGTCGGACAAGCGCCACATCCGCCAGGGTACGGCCGTGACGTCGCTGGCGATTCGCTTGCAGCAAAACCACGACGTGGAACTCCCTTGCGTGTGTCTGGCGCGCGTGTGTCTACGTGTGTGTGTAAACATTGCCACTGGCGAGACAAAGGTGTCCGGGCGCGGTGCTTTTGATCCCAAATTACATGCGAAATCTGGGAACTCATCTTCTTGGTTCTTTTGGTACAGTCACGTAGAATGGAAATAATAAAATAATAAAAATAAAACATACGTGACTTTACGGAAAGAACCAAGAAGATGAATCCCTGCAGTCACGAAAGCTTTAAATCGAAATCTGGGAACTGTTCATAGACAATTAGACGCACGTCGCAGATTTTTTCGGATTTGTCCAACGGTAATAACGACGGGTCAGACAAGATCTACGGACAAGATCCTTGTGTTAATTCTAGATATTGTAGTTCACAAGATCCTTGTGTTAATTCTAGATATTGTAGTTCACAAGATCCTTGTGTTAATTCTAGATATTGTAGTTCACAACATCCTTGTGTGAATTCTAGATATTGTAGTTCACAAGATCCTTGTGTTAATTCTAGATATTTGTAGTTCACAAGATCCTTGTGTTAATTCTAGATATTGTAGTTCACAAGATCCTTGTGTTAATTCCAGATATTGTAGTTCACAAGCTCCTTGTGTTAATTCTAGATATTGTAGTTCACAAGATCCTTGTGTTAATTCTAGATATTGTAGTTCACAAGATCCTAGTGAACTACAATAGCCCTGCAGTGAGAAATGCCTTCCCGCGTCCAGTTAAGCCTGCTGTTGCAAAACTGGCTCGGACTCAAGGATGGATCTCGAACATCTGCCGGAAACGAACTCGGCTCTGCAGCGCCGTGACGTGGTCACGCTGACCATGTACTTTATTATCCACGCGACACCGCCACCCCCTCACCGCCTCCCCCCATCCCTCACAGAGCGCCCGGCCCAGTTTGACTCCCCATACGAGACAGCGCACCAGGATTGCCGCGACTCCTACGACTGCCTCGCCCTCTCCCCGTCGCGCAAGCACCTCTGCTCGCGCCTCTCTCACGACCACAACCACTACGCCGTGTGCCGCAACCTCCTGGCTCCGCTGTGGGCCGGGGGCACCCGGGGCGGGGCGGCTCTGCTCGGGGGGGCCCCGCGGCCCCTGGCGGGCCGCCTAGAGGCCCTGCTGGCCGAATGCGTGCGGCCCAAGAGGCCCGGCGGGCGGGCCGCGGCAGCCGGAGAGTTGCGAAGATGGCTCGCCGATCTCAACGCCAACTACAGCAAGCTGGCGGCGGCGGCGGGGATTGTGGATGTCAGTGGCGGCACTGAGAGGTAGCGGCTGACTTGGGGGGGGGAACGGGGGGGGCGGCAGGGGGGGGGAGGTCGGTGCGGCCTGACCCGCGACCTGGCCGCTCGCCGCCACCGTGAGTGCCGATGCTGGACGGCGTTTGCCGGACGTGGCGGTAGCGCACGCGGTGAGGGTTGGGTCGGAGCGACGACGGTTTTTTTACTCTCCGCTACCCCCCCTGCTCCGATGAGCATCGTTGAGGCCGGCGCTCATCTGTTTACAGCCCTGCAGAGCCAGCCGCCGGAGACATTCCACATTCTCGTGGCAGGTGGAGGACGGGGGGGGGGGGGGCGAGCGAGTCTACCCGTAGGACGACCGCCATTGACGTCTCCTGCGAAGTGGTGCTTCATTTTCTCGACCGCGTTTCGGAGAGATGATGGGCCGGGACAAGCAAGCCACCCCCCCTCCCCCCACCCCGCCAACCAGGATTCGAACTCGGGGACTTCCGCTCGCTCCGCCGCTGAGCTACCGGGGCCAGAAGACGTGGCCCCCCAGGTGCGGTGAAATATGGTACTTGAAGATTTTTAGTTGTTTTTCTAAACTGTATTCCGCTAAGTTTCCGCAAGCTTCCGAACTCGCCTCACTTCCTCCTCGCTGTCGTCTAACGCACGCTCGGGGCAGTGTTAGCAGTGACCAATTGGGCACTGTACGCGTGGTGTTTGTTCGCGCTATCGCTCTCGTCGCACCGACTGCCCGGTGGTCTCACGGTAGTTTGGCGACGTTTGGTGATCCCAAGCGAGTGATTTTGTGGTGCGATTTTTTTTTCGAATCGGGCAAAATTTGAACAAACTGAACACACACTCTCTAGGACAGGGGGAGTACATACAAACTGAACACACACACACACTGAACACACACACATACTGAACACACACACACTCTCTAGGACAGGGGGAGTACATACAAACTGAACACACACACACTGAACACACACACATACTGAACACACACACACTCTCTAGGACAGGGGGAGTACATACAAACTGAACACACACTCACTCTCACTAGAACAGGGTGAGTACATACACACTGAACACACACACACACTCTGTAGAACAGGGGGAGTACATACAAACTGAACACACACACACTGAACACACACACACACTGAACACACACACACTGTAGAACAGGGGGAGTACATATAAACTGAACACACACACACACTGAACACACACACGTACTCTGTAGAACAGGGGGAGTACATACAAACTGAACACACACACACACTGAACACACACACACACTGAACACACACACACTCTGTAGAACAGGGGGAGTACATACAAACTGAACACACACACACACTGAACATACACATACACACTGAACACACACACACTCTGTAGAACAGGGGGAGTACATACAAACTGAACACACACACACACTGAACACACACACACACACTAAACACACACACACACTGAACACACACACACTCTGTAGAACAGGGGGAGTACATACACACTGCACACACACACACTCCAGAACAGGGAGGCGACATACACACTGCACACAAAAATAGAGTCCCAGGCAGGGAGTTGAACCCCAGCTATTCCCTGTGAGGCGCGAGCGTGACCACTGCACCGCCACCCTGCTGCCCTGAACGATTGCATCGCTGTCGCCAATGAGATTGCCCCCTGTGGGGTGCGGCCCCCCCCCATCCACTTGAGTTATCTTCTCGTTTCAACGAAACGAACTCTCAAAATTTCGATTTAAAGCTTTCGTGACTGCAGGGATTCATCTTCTTGGTTCTTTTGGTAAAGTCACGTAGAAGGGAAATAATAAAGTAATAAAAATAAAACATATTATTTTATTATGTTTTATTTTTATTACTTTATTATTTCCATTCTACGTGACTTTACCGAAAGAACCAAGAAGATGAACTCTCAAAAGTTTGCGATCCCGGGCGTAGCCGTTAGAGGGCAGAAACCCACCACTTTGTCGCATCCCGTTTGGGGCGAATGGAGATTGTTTCGGCTGACTGTGAAAAGACCAATCGTCCATATCCTTCCCATATCTGCCCCTCCACATACACATTTTTTCTTTTACACATCCCATCAGCCTGGCGGCCTTCCTCCCTGGGAGTGCGTCTTGAGCGGCTTTGAGATCCGACGTCTCGTCAGCAGGAGAGGAGTCGAGCTTGGGTTGGTTTTCGCATTCGTGCCACGAATCTTCTGCCCCGCTGTTTGGCGCAGCGCGAAACGTCGGACGCGTCGCCGCGGCGAACGGGACGGCGTGTAGCGGGGCACGACGCTGCGGAGAAATGTCGCTGTGAAAGCAGCAGCAGCGGCAGCAGCAGCAAACGGTTTACAACGTTCGGTTCTGGTTTTCGTTTCGGGTATCTAACCTGGGTGTTCTTCGTCATCGTTGTGCCTATGGTGAGTTGAATAGGGGGCCTCGGAGGGCGGGGGTCGGGGGGCGGGGGGGGTGTCTGTGAGGGATGATGGGGGGGGGGGGGACCCCAGTAATCAACATCACTCCGGGTGTTAGGCTGCTGAGATTTCCTGTGTCCCTCCAGGAGGTTTCTACTCTGTGCCTCTTCTCTAGTCACGTCCACTGTTCTCGTAACTCCTCCACGGTCTGACGCTCTCCCTCCCACCCCCCCTCCCCTCTTCATCCTCCCTCCTCCGTTGGAAAAATAATGATTTGAAGAGCTTTGTCGATCCACTACTGAGTGAAGGCCTCCCCTCCATGCTTTGTGTGTCATGAGTTTTATTTGACCATACTTCACCACGATGGGCAATGCGGGTTGGTGAAGAGAGGGAGGCCCAAGACTGATATTTATCGGTGACGGGGGAATCTAACTTGGGTGTCTGGGTTCGTTTTGGAGTGCGCTCACCGCTGTGCCGATACTGCACCCACAGCATCTATGGATCACACGGTCTGAGTGTAGGTCTCTGCGAGTGTGTGCGTCACTGTGTGTGTATCAGTCTGAGTGTGCAAGTCTGTGGGTCTCTACACCAGTCTGTGTGTCTGTCAGTCTCCGAGTGAGTCTGCCTCAGATCGCCTCGAATTGCACGAGGAAAAAAACCACGTGTCCAATCCAGCTCGCCTCTCTCCCTTGATCTCAAAATTATTTGTATCACCGAGGCTCTCACTTATTCCTTCCTCCTGATCTTTACCTTAAGAGATGTTTTGCAATCCGTACGGATGATTGTGTTTGTTCATTTCGCTCCTGCGCAGGAGGGCTGGTGACGGTTGATGTGATCGGAACGATGAGGAATCGAATGATTTGCTCTTACTTTATTTGCGTTTTTTTGTTCACGCGGAAAAGATGGTGGCGGAGGTGCCGGGGTCGGGGGGTGATGGTGCGAGCGAGTTTTTAAAAAGAGGATGACACTTTACTGCGGGTAAAGTGACGGTACTGTACCTTGTGAAATGCAATCATTCCAAACGAGAGCTGTGTTCCCCGTAGCAATAACGCCGTTTGTTTCCATGACTGGGTTTTTGTTTTTCGACCGGTCAGCAGCTGTGGCCAATTGTTTTCACTCCCACCAACACAGAACGGCTCAGATGGATAACGCTCCTTTTCTATAAATAAAGGATTACGTACGCAACCAGGTCGAGGGTGGTGATGGGCGGTGGTTTGTGGAGATTTTGGTGGTGCTGGTGATTAAAATGACAGCGGTGATGGGTGGTGGTGGTTGCCACATTCGCAGTAGTGTTTGGTGGCAGCGGTGGCATTGCCTTGTGGTGGATTTCAAAGTGATGGCATTAGTTGTGATGAAATTAAGTGGTGGCGGTTGTGAAATTGTATGCATGTATGTGGAACGTATTCCGTACCACCGTACGTCACCAACTGTGCTAATCAGAGGTGTGGGTGAAGGACAAGAAACGAAATACAAAGATCAGTTCTAAATAAATGAGATTTCAATCCAGATTTAAAAGTGCATAGCTCTATCGGCTTCCTAATATCAGAAGAGCGTTCCAGACGGCCCCTTGCATCTCCGTCAACAAAACCGTGTGTCGGACGAGTGACCCAAGGCGACGACACGCGCGGGACACCGAAATCGCCGATACAAAACGACACGGAAGAGATGTCGCGGGAGTGCTGGTGCGCTTCACGCAAATATTTTATTTTCATCGTGGACATTCCACAAAGGGGTGCGACTGTGGTGTCGGGCAACGCACGACCGCGCTTTGGACACGGGGAGAGAAGGAAATTGAAAACAACCGCACTCGCTTGTGGATTACATCGCGCGCCCTGTTAGACAAACCAGCCCTTTCGATTTAAAGCTTTCGTGACTGCAGGGATTCATCTTCTTGGTTCTTTCGGTAAAGTCACGTAGAAGGGAAATAATAAAAATAAAACATATTTTTATTATTTCCCTTCTACGTGACTTTATCTTCTTGGTTTTTTCGGTAAAGTCACGTAGAAGGGAAATAATAAAATAACAAAAATAAAACATCTTCTTGGTTCTTTCGGTAAAGTCACGTAGAAGGGAAGTAATAAAATAATAAAAATAAAACATAATAATATAATATATTTTAATATATTTTATTTTTATTATTTTATTACTTCCCTTCTACGTGACTTTACCGAAAGAACCAAGAAGATGAATCCCTGCAGTCACGAAAGCTTTAAATCGAAAAAGAAAACATTTTTAATAAAATAAAAATAAAACATATTTTTATTATTTTCCTTCTACATGACTTTACCGAAAGAACCAAGAAGATGAACCAGCCCTTGTTCCGGTCAACAATATGCATTGACGACGCCGGTTGAAATCACAACGCCATCCTTTTGTTTTTATCTTCGGGCCTGCTAGCGGTACGGAAGCCCCACGGCTATGCGGACGAGGGCAGGAAAGTGGGCCAGTATATTTTCAAATAATTATTTGTGGCTGAAATTCTAGATTTGAAGTTTCCGTGACTGCAAGGGTCCATACTCTTTGGTTTTTTCGGTAAAGTCACGTCGGTAAAAAAAACTTGATATAGCAATTTTGCTGTGACGGTTCCACCTGAAGACGGAAGCTTGTGTTGCCTCCGAAACGTCGTGATTTTTATTTATTTTCTTTTTTTACCTACGTGACTTTACCGAAAAAAAACAGAGTATTTCTGGCTTCCACAGGTGTTGGGCAGTGCTTTGGTGAGCGTGTCAGGTGTTACCCAAAACTATGTTTTACTTTACCAGGTAAAGGTACATGGGTAGGTAAAGGTACATGGATAGGTGTTTAGGTGGGTAGGTGTTTAGGTGGGTAGGCATGCATGTGGCTCGATGGGTATGTGCATAGGTAACCTATTTTTATTTTTAATTTTCCCAGGTAAGGTCCACTGAGCTTATGCAGCTCTTTTTTCAGAAGCAACGTGGCCACAAATGACAACTCAACGAAGTGGCTCATGTCACGTGAACATTTATAGCGCCCAAATACTCTAAACGCGTGACGTCGATTCGAAATGTGGAGGGAAAAACCGGAGGACCAGGAGAAAAATACACACGACCACGGAGAGAGAGAGAGACACGCAAACTCCAAATATACAGCAGGCGTCGGGTACGGGATCGAACCCATGACCTCCTGTACACCAGGCGAGGTAGTTGACATCTCCTAGCCACCGTGATGATGATGATGAGAGAGAGAGACGCAAACTCCAAATATACAACAGGCGTCAGGGTCGAATCCACGACCTCCTGTAGACCAGGCGAGGTAGTTGACATCTAGCCACCACGATGATGATGAGAGAGACGCAAACTCCAAATATACAGCAGGCGTCGGGATCGGGATCGAACCCACGACCTCCTGTACACCAGGCAAGGGAAATAACATCTCCGAACCACAGTGATGATGATGATGAGAGAGACGCAGACTGCAAATATACAGCAGCAGGCGTCAGGGTCGGGATCAAACCCACGACCTCCTGCATACCAGGCGAGGAAGATGATGCCTTGCCACCACGGCGTGTCCCTAAGAGCGACGCAACTTTACACGAAAGCTTCGTTTCGTATCCGAGCATTTTTTTTTTTACGAAGCGTGATCACGACCACGAGCATCGGGCGGACGTCGCAAGTAAAAACAAAAACGCCTGCAGTCGACACCGACACCCAATGACTCTCCCGCGGTAGGCCGAGGTGTGAGAGGTGCGGGCTGCCCCCGCTCAACCCGAGCACGGGGGCCAGAGGTAGCTCTCCGATCTCCGCTTTCCGTGGGCTCGCGGCGAGGATTTTCCCCGGTCGTGACCCTTCCTCGGGGTTTTCTCCGCGATGCCGACGAAACCTCGGGGAGAAAACAAATTGCTGCCGACCAGAGGAACAGGGAGCCGTCGTCGCCGTCTTGGCGGAGGAACACGCGAAGAGACGGCGCCGTCCACGACCGATCGTGGTCGTCACCGTCGCACGGCCGCGACGAAGTTGAAGAGGCAGGGGTTCGAGTCGGATTCGACGGCGACGGAGCCGGCGACGCGGGGTTGCAGGCCCACGGCCCCGTAGTTGGGGACGCTGAGGAAACTCCCGCGGAAGGCGGCGCTCTCCAGCTCCGTGCCGTGCCTCCTGCCACGCCGCAGGAACACGCAGCGCCACGACTCCTTGTCCAGCGAGCTCACCGTCTCGGGGCTCTCACGCTCCTGGGGGGGGGGGGGGGGGGGGGGGGAGGGTCACAGTGTGTGAAGTGGCAGCTCAGGGCTTGAGGCGCTCTCGCTCGGATCCTCCACAAAACGTGCACCCAGTGGTTCAGCTGTGACTCGGCTCCAGATCGGCTCAGCTGAAGGTAATCTCACAGAGCATGGCCGAGGCCAGCTCAAGTTGTTTCCCCGACTGTTGTTGTGCTTCTTCTTGGTTCTTTCGGTAAAGTCACGAAGAAGGGAAGTAATAAAATAATAAAAATAAAACATAATAAAATAATTCTCACTTTACCGAAAGAACCAAGAAGATGAATCCCTGCAGTCACGAAAGCTTTAAATCGAAATTTGTTGTGCTTGTTTAGCCAGGAGAGGCAACGCCACCCCACCCCAGCGACGGCCGGGTTCTCAATTCACGCTTGGCTCGGACTCACCAAAACGCGCGAACGAGCCGGAACACGATATATTGTTAGAATGTAAAAAAAAACATTTACAGTCACACAAGTCCACTCGGACAGCATACCCACGGGGGGGGGGGGGGGTGCCCCCCCCTCCCCTCCGGGTTCCCCCTCCGGGATTTCCCTTCCGGGGGTTCCCCCCCCCCCCCCTCTGGGGGTTCCCCCTCCCCCCGTCCGGGGGTTTCCACCACCCCCCTCCACGTGTCTCCACCCAACGCACCTTGAGTGTGACGGTGGGGTGCTCTGCAGGCGGTCCCACGCACAGCATCTTCTGCCCGAAGCCCAGGGACACGAAGTCGCACCCATCGGTCGGGTTCGAGCTCTTGTAGCGGTACAACGTGGCCATGGAGCCTGTGGGAGACACGGGAGGAGAGGGGGTGGAGGGAGACGTGGGAGGAGGGGGTGGAGGGAGACGTGGGAGGAGGGGGTGGAGGGAGACGTGGGAGGAGGGGGTGGAGGGAGACGTGGAAGGAGGGGGTGGAGGGAGACGTGGGAGGAGGGGGTGGAGGGAGACGTGGGAGGAGGGGGTGGAGGGGGTGGAGGGAGACGTGGGAGGAGGGGGTGGAGGGGGTGGAGGGAGACGTGGGAGGAGGGGGTGGAGGGAGACGTGGGAGGAGGGGGTGGAGGGAGACGTGGGAGGAGGGGGTGGAGGGAGACGTGGGAGGAGGGGGTGGAGGGAGGAGGGGGTGGAGGGAGACGTGGGAGGAGGGGGTGGAGGGAGACGTGGGAGGAGGGGGTGGAGCGAGACGTGGGAGGAGGGGGTGGAGGGAGGAGGGGGTGGAGGGAGACGTTGGATGAGGGGGTGGAGGGAGACGTGGGAGGAGGGGGTGGAGCGAGACGTGGGAGGAGGGGGTGGAGGGAGGAGGGGGTGGAGGGAGACGTGGGAGGAGGGGGTGGAGGGAGACGTGGGAGGAGGGGGTGGAGGGAGACGTGGGAGGAGGGGGGTGGAGGGAGACGTGGAAGGAGGGGGTGGAGGGAGACGTGGGAGGAGGGGGTGGAGGGAGACGTGGGAGGAGGGGGTGGAGGGGGTGGAGGGAGACGTGGGAGGAGGGGGTGGAGGGGGTGGAGGGAGACGTGGGAGGAGGGGGTGGAGGGAGACGTGGGAGGAGGGGGTGGAGGGAGACGTGGGAGGAGGGGGTGGAGGGAGGAGGGGGTGGAGGGAGACGTGGGAGGAGGGGGTGGAGGGAGACGTGGGAGGAGGGGGTGGAGCGAGACGTGGGAGGAGGGGGTGGAGGGAGGAGGGGGTGGAGGGAGACGTTGGATGAGGGGGTGGAGGGAGACGTGGGAGGAGGGGGTGGAGCGAGACGTGGGAGGAGGGGGTGGAGGGAGGAGGGGGTGGAGGGAGACGTGGGAGGAGGGGGTGGAGGGAGACGTGGGAGGAGGGGGTGGAGCGAGACGTGGGAGGAGGGGGTGGAGGGAGGAGGGGGTGGAGGGAGACGTGGGAGGAGGGGGTGGAGGGAGACGTGGGAGGAGGTGGGAGACGTGGAATGGGAGGAAGGGAGACGCGGTGGAGAGGGCTAATGAGAACATGGTGGAGGAATCCGATGAGCTATGAAGCTCTTTCACACACACGTGCAGTAGGGGGGGGGGGGGAGCACGAGGTCGGAACGTAACAACAACAAACGAGTGAGAGACACGATCGGAGCGCCAAGTATTGCGCTGGGGGAGGGGAGGGCGGACTTGTGTGTTCGCCGTAGATCGTGCTCAAACTTGGAGCCACGACTCCCCGTGACACTCCGCCGCCTCGCCTGTGGATTTGCACGCAGCGCACATCAACTCGACATGCGCCTTAGAATGGTCAACACATACGTGGAATAGAAGGGCCATTGCCCGAAACGTCGCCCTCATGCATGTGTTGTTTCAGATTAGTATCAACAATTCCCCCCACCCCCACCCACCAATGATTATTTTTTGGTACGTACAAAACATTACAACAGCACGTACGTCAAGACTTCTCAATCATAACTACTGGAGGAATCCGATAAGCTATAAAGATATTTTTCACCGTTGTCCAGTAGATCTCCGCCCAAAACCTCCACCACCACTGCCTCCTCCATTCCACCACCATCACCGCTATCAACCTCCACCACTATCACCACTACCAACCTTCACCACCACCACCCATCACTATCAACCTCCATCACCACCAACATCACCACTACCAACCTCCATCACTATCAACCTACATCACCACCACCATCACCACTACCAACCTCCATCACTATCAACCTCCATCACTATCAACCTCCACCACCCCCTCCATCACCCTCCCCCATCTCACCGGGAGGCTGAGGACCGTCTGGGTGGCACTTCCTCGCCTCCAGAGCGGCTCCGCGTGCTGCCAGCACCCAGCCCTGCTCCTCGTTCACCAGCGCCACGACCTCCCGTGACGCCACCTTGAGACGCGTCGCCTGCTGCTGCTGCTGCTGCTGCTCATCCATCTGTTCCTCCGTGTACCCCACCGCTGGGGTCGACTTCCCCACGCGCCCGTCTGCTTTGACGTCCATGATCTGGGCTCTCCTCCACTCTCTGCCGGGACTACTCTTCGCAGGAGACGCAAGGAGCAGGGGAAGATGCAGCAGGAGTAGCAGCAGCAGCAGGAGCAGCAGCTGTGGTGGTGGTGGTGGAGTGGTGGCAGCAGGATGAGGATGCTGGGGTCGGTGGCTGAGGTCCGACGGTAGTGACCACCCTCCTCGCCTGGCACGGGTCGTCTTTATCATCTCAGTTCCCTCCTCCTCCTCGTTCTCCACGCCTGCTGGTTTTGCGTGGGGAGTGGGGGTGGGGTGGTAGAGGTGGGGTAGGGGTGGGGGTGGGGGATGATGGGGGTGGGTGATGGGGGGGGTAGAGGTGGTGGTGGGGGGGGTAGAGGTGGAGGTGAGTCACCGGCCCGGGCAGGCCCATGCGTATCCTGCTGTTGAGCTTGTAAGCTGTGTGTGTGTGTAAGCTGTGTGTGTGTGTATAAGCTGTGTGTGTATAAGCTGTGTGTGTGTGTAAGCTGTGTGTGTGTGTAAGCTGTGTGTGTGTAAGGGCTGTGTGCTGGGGGCTGTGTGTGTGTGAGCTGTGTGATAGGGGCTGTGTGTGAGCTGTGTATGTGATAAGGGCTGTGAGTGTGAGCTGTGTGTGTGTGAGCTGTGTGCTGTGTGTGTGAGAGGTGTGTGTGTGTGTACTGTGTGTGTGTGCTGTGTGTGTACTGTGTGTGTGCTGTGCAGCTGCCGAGCCATTGTGCTGGCCACCCATCCCCCCTCGTGTGCCATGCCGGCCTTCATCTGTGATACTGCCTAATAATAACACTTGCCCCAACCGTCTGTGAGGGCTATACGGGTGATTTTTGTTTTGTCTAGCGGCCTGCGTGTGAATGTCTCCCTGTTTGTCTATATACCGACTTGCATGGCCATCTACCAGTCGACCTGTTTGTCTATCTTCCCGTCTGGCTTGCCTGTGTGTCCATCAGTGAGGCTGCCTGCCTACCAAACTACCACCCTACCTGCCTGTCTCCATGGCTACCTGCCTGTCGCTATGGTTACCTGTCTGTCTCTATGGTTACCTGCCTGTCTCCATGGCTACCTGCCTGTCTCCATGGCTACCTGCCTGTCTCTATGGCTACCTGTCTCTATGGTTACCTGTCTGTCTCTATGGCTACCTGTCTGTCGCTATGGTTACCTGTCTGTCTCTATCGTTACCTGTCTGTCTCCATGGCTACCTGCCTGTCGCTATGGTTACCTGCCTGTCTCTATGACTACCTGCCTGTTTCTATGGTTACCTGCCTGTCTGTCTATGCAAGTGTAGTGTTGTGGATTCAGGAGATGTCGGAGACTGTACTTGAAGGTGTAGTGGTGATAACGACTCGCTGTTCGCAAGCTGTGAGAGAGCGGATCGTAAACAACGTTTTCCCGCTTGATCAAACGGTCAGGGTCAAATGGGGTGAGGTGGGATCCAAACGCCAGATTGGGAAGGACCAATCGGGGGAGTTCCACAAGGTGGCTGGGGATTGGACAACCCGGCCACGAACAGGTATAAAAGCCAGAGCGCTGAGAGCTCTTGGTGAGTTCTGCTACACGAAGACCCAAGTCGGCCGAAGACATCTAGGACCCTGCACCAAGCCCTCCAGCCCTTGTCAGGGCTAGGGCTCAGTGTCACCAGTGGTCGGGGGAGATTAGGTCCTGGATGGGGAGGACCCTGGCTCCCAGCCTTCCCGCCCTTGCGAGGGCGAAGGTCCTGAGCGACCAGAGGTCGGGGACCCGCCGGGCCAGCGGCGGGTCAGTGTGCCTTCCCTAGGTCCAAGCCGGAGGACGCTAGGATAGCGGGGAGATTAGATAGACAGCAAGTCCGGAGGCTGTACCTCCTTAGAATAGGAGCTAAGCGTGAGTGTGGAGCTGTGCAAGGTCCGGAGGGTGTACCTCCTCAGGGTAACGGGTAAGGAGACCGTATACCCCTTTGTGTGTGTTAGGGACTGTGTATTAAGACAATAAACAGTGTGCCATAAAGAAGTTTAGAAGTCCGTCCTTTACAACACTACAAAGTCAACAATCTTTATTATTAAACCACCTTGCTCGGCACTACAGTCCCAGAACACTCGGGGTTACCGTCCTCCTACACCGCTCTCTGGGGAGGTACTGCCTCAGGGCTAACGTGCCCTTACACAGGACGACACTCGGGCTCCTAAGGCTATGGGTGCCTAGGGGGAGGCTATTCTAGCTCGCCCGTGCCAGGGTGCGAGTTCCGACCGCTGACCGGCCCTTACAAGTGTAATGTGAGGATATATCCGGCTCACTGACGTATCACAACTCGACATGGTGATTGGCTCTGCCGGTCCTGGTTTACAGCCAATGGGGGGAAGCCTAGGGGCATGGCCCTGACGTAATGGAAAGGTGACAGCTGTAAGGATTGGTTCTGCTGGCTTTGGCCACAGCCAATGGGGAGAGGATTCAAGGGCGTGGTCCCGGGAGCTTACGAGGGAGCCTGGAATATTCCATGGAGGCTAACGAGGATTGGCGGAAATGTACCACGTGACCCGGGTATTAAATAGGGGTGGAGACGAACGACACGTGGTCAGAACGGGAACGAACGGAGGAAGAGGGCCACGCGGGAGCGGGGCTCCGGGTTGCCACGTGGCAGTGCGTCTCTCTCTCTCTATCTGTCCCTCTCACGCTGCCTGTCAGCAGTGTGAAGGAAAGCTGTAATACAAGTTGAATAAAAGACAGATTCCAGAAGTCGCCTCAACGAGCTTTATTACACAAGGACGTCGGGCCAGAGGTTCCCAGGGTCTCACCACTGAGCCGCACAGAGTCCCGGCCCTGGTAAGGACAGCGGGGCTGGGGGTCTCAGGGTGCTACCTAGCTGGTCTTGTGGTCTTCGGTCTTTAACTGGGGTGATAATTGGTGTTTTACCCTTCTATCTGGCAACAAAACTGACACCTTTTTTACAAGGAGTCATGTTTGCATTGACCACAATACCTGCAGTCATAATGCAAACAAAAAACATAACTCTGATAATGTGTGCACTTTTTAAAGCTTTCGTGACTGCAGTGATTCATGTTCTTGGTTCTTTCGGTAAAGTCACGTAGAATGAAAATAATTAAAATATAAACAGAATTTTATTATTTCCATTCTACGTGACTTTACCGAAAGAACCAAGAAAATGTATGCACTGTCCTTGAAGTTGATTGGTCCACACCCGAGACAGCTTTCCTTAGAGCCTAGTCTCACATGGTGTTGGACCAGATGACGCCAAAAGGCGCACAACACAAAGACAATGCACCATCAGAGTATGAGAGCTCGGGTTAAGCATTTACACCATTGGAACCTCATTTGCCAGAAGAAAAAATATGATAATTGTTTTTTTACCCTTTTATCTGGCAACAAAACTGACACCTTTTTTTACAAGGAGTCATGTTTGCATTGACCACAATACCTGCAGTCATAATGCAAACAAGAAACACAACTCTGATAATGTATGCACTATCCTTGAAGTTGATTGGTCCACACCCGAGACAGCTTTCCTTAGAGCCTAGTCTCACATGGTGTTGGACCAGATGACGCCAAAAGGCGCACAACTCAAAGACAATGCACCATCAGACTGGGGTCCCGATCGGCTGGGGAGGTGCCCGTCTATGCCCCTTGCCCATCGAGGGGTGGGTGCAGCTTGGGGTCCTAGATCCCCCGTAGCCCCCCCCCCCCCCCCCCCCCCCCGTTGGTAGCGCCGAGGGGCTTTGCTGTCTGGGATCATGAGCCCCCAGTAGCCCCCCCCCCACCTCTTGGGCTGGTACTGCAGCCCCTCCCCTGGTGGTACAAGGTACCGCCCCTGCAGATGGGCCAGAGGTCGCAAACGGGTTTTGATTCCTTACCCGTACTCGGCCGCAGCAGGGTCGCAAACGGGTACCCGTACCCGGCCGTACCCATACCCTACCCGTGCCCGGCCTGGTATCAGGTAGGGTACGGGTATCGGGTACCTGATTGCGACCTCTGGGATGAAGCCATGTTGCAGGCGCGGGTGGGTTGATTCTTGGAACTTGAATTGTGAGAAGAGACAAGACGTTGGGAAATGAGTGACAAACGGTGACTCACCAGTGACTCACGGCCTACCCGTACCCGTACCCGGCCGCACCAGGGTCGCAAACGGGTACCTGTACCCGGCCGGGTACGGGTAGCCGGGTATCGGGTAGGGTACGGGTATCGGGTACCCGGTTGCGACCTCTGAGATGGGCCCCGTCTACGACTGCCGGTAAGTGCGGCCCATCTACGTCACTGCACAAGGGCATACGGTGAAGGAGAGGCGGAGAGAGAGAGAACACAACAAAGACAGAGATCCCCCGTGAAGCCTTAGCAGGCTGTTGGGTCAAGTGCTCTCAGCGAGCACCTACGAAGTGCGGCACCCACGTACAACCGCCTTTGTCTTCCCAGTGCTGATGTTCACACACGTGTCAGAACAGGTCCTGATGGCCTCGCTCTTCACACAGCCACACTGACCAGCGTGGTGAAGTATGGTCAAACTCAGTGGCGGCTCCTGCAAAATCTCTCAGGGGGGGCAAATGTCTGGATGATTGATAAGGATAAGGTCCACCCATGCAATGGATAAATTAACAGCTTAAGCATGTAAAGGCAACTTCACTTCTTTAATATTAATGCAAAATAAAGTGACTCTTACAATACATCTTGTTTGTTTCTATACTCACTATTATTACAATCCACTCAGTTTATTTTATTAAAGATTCCAGTAGGTGGCGACAAATAATATTGTTGGATGAAACGTGCTTACGTATGATGACGTAAGCACGTTAGTGCGAGCTCTCCCGGAAGCCATAGAGAATGCATTGCAGCGCCCGCCGTTCGAAAAAAAACATCTTTGAATGTAAGTCTATGGGAACACTCTGGGCGATTCTCAGCCGGAGTGAAATCGCCCAAAAAGAGGCGGTACTCCACAGAACGTAGCATGACGCTGATTGGACTATATCCAGAGGCACAGTAACGGCTTGCGAAACTCTGTGGTTGAATGACATTGGTGGTGCGCCGCCCAATCGCCCTAATGAAGAAACCGCCCCTGGTCAAACTACTCCCACCGGCCGACACGAGTTGGGGACAGACGCCTTCATGCAGCGGTGGATTGATCATGGTTAATGATGATCATGTCACAAAGTGTACCATGTTACAAAGTGTACCCATGTCACAAAGTGTACCCATGTCACAAAGTGTACCCATGTTACAATGTGTACCCATGTCACAAAGTGTACCCATGTTACAAAGTGTACCCATGTCACAAAGTGTACCCATGTCACAAAGTGTACCCATGTTACAAAGTGTACCCATGTTACAAAGTGTACCCATGTCACAAAGTGTACCCATGTCACAAAGTGTACCCATGTCACAAAGTGTACCCATGTCACAAAGTGTACCCATGTCACAAAGTGTGCCCATGTTACAAAGTGTGCCCATGTTACAAAGTGTACCCATGTTACAAAGTGTACCCATGTCACAAAGTGTACCCATGTCACAAAGTGTACCCATGTCACAAAGTGTACCCATGTCACAATGTGTACCCATGTTACAAAGTGTACCCATGTCACAAAGTGTGCCCATGTTACAAAGTGTACCCATGTTACAAAGTGTACCCATGTCACAAAGTGTACCCATGTTACAAAGTGTACCCATGTCACAAAGTGTACCCATGTTACAATGTGTGCCCATGTCACAAAGTGTACCCATGTCACAAAGTGTGTCCATGTTACAAAGTGTACCCATGTCACAAAGTGTGCCTATGTTACAAAGTGTACCCATGTCACAAAGTGTACCCATGTTACAAAGTGTACCCATGTCACAAAGTGTGGCCATGTCACAAAGTGTACCCATGTCACAAAGTGTACCCATGTCACAATGTGTACCCATGTCACAAAGTGTACCCATGTCACAAAGTGTACCCATGTCACAAAGTGTACCCATGTCACAAAGTGTACCCATGTTCATCTTCTTGGTTCTTTCGGTAAAGTCACGTAGAAGGGAAATAATAAAATAAGAATTTTTTTAAAAATAAAATAATAAACATATTTTGTTTTTCTTATTTTATTATTTCCCTTCTACGTGACTTTACCGAAAGAACCAAGAAGATGAATCCCTGCAGTCACGAAGCTTTAAATCGAAATGTACCCATGTTACAATGCATACACATCACTAAGTGTACCCATGTTACAATGCATACACATCACTAAGTGTACGCATAGCACAAAGTTTACCCATATAAATATATAAATCGCGGTAAGGCTCGCTGAACTATGTAACTCTTTTTCAGAAGCAACCCGGCCACAAATTATAGCTCAACCAAGACGGCTCATCATCATCATCACCACGTGGACATTTATATCAGCCAAACACTCTCAATGCGGAGGGTTCAAACCGAACGACCGGGAGAAAAATCCACGCGACCACGGGGAGAGAGACACACGCAGACTCCGAATATACAGCAGGCATCGTCAGGTTGGGGATTCGAATCCACGACCCCTCTCCCCACGCGTGTAGCTGGCGAGGTCGTTAAAATCTCGCCACCGTAGCGCCCAAAGTTGCACCAAATTGTCTCGCGTTAAAGATCGTACCCGCATTACAAGATTGTCAAGCGCACGCCTATAAACACGTCATCATCATCAGAAAACAATTGTGTCCTACCGGGGCGGTGTTGGCTTGAATGTCGCTTGGGCGACGGTGATGTTGCTGTCTCCCCGACAGACCTGGTCTTCACCTGAGGACGGCTGCTTGCGTTGTGGCCGAAACGTCGTGAGAATTATTTTATTATGTTTTATTTTTATTATTTTATTATTTCCCTTCTACGTGACTTTACCGAAAGAACCAAGAAGATGAATCCCTGCAGTCACGAAAGCTTTAAATCGAAATTGTTGGTGGTTGTTGTTGGTGGTGGTTGTTGGTAATTGTGGTTGGTTGGTGGTGGTGGTTGTTGGTAATTGTGGTTGGTTTGTGGTGGTTGGTAAATCTATAAAAAAAAACAATTCTCCGAGCGAATAACGGAGCGTCAGTCACTCCACCTCCTTTTAAAGAGGTCTCTGGATTCTCCGCGAGAACTCCTCCCCCAAGCACCTCCCACGCAAGCGCCATCAGCAGCAGCAGCAGCAACATCGTCCCCACGCAAACGTGGGAACTTCCACGCGTGTTGCAAACCACCGCTGTGGACGCGAGTGAAATGTCGTGGACGAAATCGGTGCCTCTCTCGAGTCTGTGCCAACACCACCGGCGATGTCGCAACCGCGTTGAAGGGTGACGATGTTGAGTGGTGCACCCACGTCTGGCCTTTGTGCGCTTGCCAGTCACTTCTCGCGGTTGCGAGATGTTAACTACCTCGCCTGGTATGCAGGAGGTCGTGGGTTCGATCCCGACCCTGACGCCTGCTGCTGTATATTTGGAGTCTGCGTCTCTCTCTGTGGTGAGATGTTAACTAACTCGCCTGGTATGCAGGAGGTCGTGGGTTCGATCCCGACCCTGACGCCTGCTGCTGTATATTTGGAGTTTGCGTGTCTCTCTCTCTTCATCATCATCACGGTGGCTAGGAGATGTTAACTACCTCGCCTGGTGTACAGGAGGTCGTGGGTTCGGTCCCGAACCCGACGCCTGCTGTAGATTTGTAGTTTGCGTGTCTCTCTCCCCATGCTCCGATCTTTCCTTCCACATTTAGAAACACGCGTTTAGAGTATTTTTAAATCCTTTATATTAAGTTCACCTGCTTGCTTGCGCGCTTACGACCATGCAAATCTTTCGGTAGTTTTTTAACCCACTTCCCGTGATCCAATCGAGCTGACATTTTGCACACAGACTCGTTGTGCGTGACAATTTATTTTCGTGAAATTTTTTTTTCCAAAATTTTACACTTTTTAGGAACATTTTTTTTTTAATATTTAATTACCTATTGCTTAATGGTGGCAGGCAATCACCTGACCCATAGGTGGCAGGCAATCACCTGACCCATAGGTGGCAGTCATCTCAAGCCAGAGGACGAGAGGACTCTAGCCGCCCGTTTCAAAGACCAATGTGGGCTGGGTTGTGGCCCATTGAACACGCATATAAAGGATTTATAGTGAAAAACTTTGTTTTTACGGGTTAATTTTTCTGCGATACATTTCCTTGATCACTGAACTACCATTGTGGCCAGGCCGCTTGTGAGAAAGAGCTACGTAGTTAAGTGGGCCTTGCCTGGTAACAATAAAATAAAAATATCTCGTTTAGTAATAGGTTTTTACCCTTCCAACTGGTACAAAAACTGACACCTTTATACAAGGCATCATGTTTGCAATAATCACAACACAAGCAGTCAAAATGCAAACAAAAAGAAACAACTCTGATAATGATATGCACTGTCCTTGAAGTTGATTGGTCCACACCCGAGACAGCTTTTCTTAGATCCTAGTCTCCATTGGTGTTGGACCAGATGGAATGGATGCTGCTGATGTAGATGCAGAACAACACGACTGCGTCAGGAGAAAGCGCAGTCGTGTATCACCATCATCATCATTAATGTGATGTCTCCTTCTTCGTATTCCATTCAGACGCTGTCGCCTCGACAGACCTGGTTTCACCTGAGGACGGCTACTTGTGTTGTGGCCGAAACGTCATGATAATTATTTTATTATGTTTTATTTTTATTATTTTATTACTTCCCTTCTACGTGACTTTACCGAAAGAACCAAGAAGATGAATCCCTGCAGTCACGAAAGCTTTAAATCGAAATTTCCTTCTTCGTATTTGTGGATCGGGGCTTTGCGTCGTTCCACATTCTACTCAGGCCTCGGCATCTTACTGCCGTCGTCTGTGCCGTGGATGTGGTTTATGGTGGACGATGTCCATGTGCGCCCACGTGCCCATGTGCGCCCACGTGTTCCTGTGCGACTCTGCGGGAGCGGAAACCGCGATCCGAGTTCGATTAACGCCTCCGACCAACAACAACAGCAGCAGCAGCAGTGGCGAATATCCGAGCCTGCCTTTGACCTTCCCTAGGTCGACTCGGCCTCAAATGAGTAGCCCAGTGCGATGTGTAACCTCTGAGTTGTGATGTAATCCGAGTTGTGATGTCATCCGGGTCGTCAAGTTGCGTGAGCGACGACGTTCGAAGGGAGGCCTCCATCCAGCAACGGATCGATAATGACTCACGACCATAGCGATCAACGATTGGTGGATGTTGATGATAATTACGGTTAAATTTCGATTTAAAGCTTTCGTGACTGCAGGGATTCATCTTCTTGGTTCTTTCGGTAAAGTCACGTAGAAGGGAAATAATAAAAAATAAAATAATAAAATAATTACATTTCGATTTAAAGCTTTCGTGACTGCAGGGATTCATCTTCTTGGTTCTTTCGGTAAAGTCACGTAGAAGGGAAATAATAAAATAATAAAAATAAAACATTAAATAATTAAATTTCGATTTAAAGCTTTCGTGACTGCAGGGATTCATCTTCTTGGTTCTTTCGGTAAAGTCACGTAGAAGGGAAATACTAAAAATTAAAATAATAAAATAATTACATTTCGATTTAAAGCTTTCGTGACTGCAGGGATTCATCTTCTTGGTTCTTTCGGTAAAGTCACGTAGAAGGGAAATAATAAAATAATAAAAATAAAAATTAAATAATTAAATTTCGATTTAAAGCTTTCGTGACTGCAGGGATTCATCTTCTTGGTTCTTTCGGTAAAGTCACGTAGAAGGGAAATAATAAAATAATAAAATAAATAAAACATAATAAAATAATTCTCACGACGTTTCGGCTGCTCGCGTTGTGGCCGAAACGTCGTGAGAATTATTTTATTATGTTTTATTTTCATAATTGTATTATTTCCCTTCTACGTGACTTTACCGAAAGAACCAACAAGATAATTACGGTGTTGTACCTGGCTGATGATGATGATGGTGGTGGTAGCAGTGCCGGATGAAGCTAGTACGGGGCCTGTAGCATGATGTTAGAAAGGGGCACTAAATAAATACATAAACCACTTAAATATTATAACATAAATGTTTACTCGCATAGTAAAGTAATTGTATTTTTCATTTGCTATACAGCCAGATAATACGACAAATCGCTAACCTAAAACACCCAGTCGTTCATAAAAGTTTAAGGCGGTATAGTACTATAGTAATAGAGCAAGTGCAGAATCACTGAGCCGGAGTTGATAGCTGGAAAGCATTTAGCGCGGGGCCCGTAGCTACTACACAGGTAGCTACTTTCGCTACGAGGATAAACTGATGATCTGGCTGCTGCTTCTGCGATAATGATCATAATAATTTATATGTATAAGTCGCATGTCATCCAAGGATCTCAATGCGCCGTATGCTGAATATGGTTTTTTTTAATCATCACAACAACAGGATGAATATATGATAAACTAGCTTTACTACTTCTCGATTTGAAGCTTTCGTGACTGCAAGGATTCATACTGTTAGGTTCTTTCGGTAAAGCCACGTAGGTAAAAAATAAAATTAAAAGTTAATAAAAGTAATATTATTGTATTTTATTTCCATTATTACTTTCATTAACTTTTAATTTTTTTTTTACCTACGTGACTTTACCGAAAAAACCTAACAGTATAGCTTTACTACCCCGGCTTCGCCCGGGACTTAATGCACCACGCCCGGCCGCCTTTGTCTCCCCAGTGGCGATGTTCACACACCACACCAGTTAATTGTTTGAGGCTGAGTGGACCTAGGAGAGGCTCAGGACCGGTTCAAATAATCGTCAGCGGGTCGCCGGGTTCGTAGAGCAGAGCACTACCCACTACACTACAATGCGTTAAGCTTCCACATGCGCGGGTCACGTGACAGATGTGACGTCACAGCTCACTTGCCGTGCAAAAAAAAATGCATTATTGAGCTCCCCCCCCCCCCCAAAAAAAAGAAAAGTGTATTTTTATAATTTGTGCATGGTGTACAGTCTGGAAAGTACCCACATGGCAAATTTCAAGTTTGTTGCATGTCGGCAAGTACGCTAAACATTTTGAACAGACACACATATTCACAATTTTGCCTTTTATATATATGGATACGATGAATATGTTTCCGTGTGGAACAGTCTTAGAACTTATTGTTATTTTTTATTTTTTTAAGCAAAGCCGCAAAGCACAGGACCCAGAAGACCCAACACGTCATGCGGTTAGCCAAGACCAGCGCTATAATTATATATCAATGTTGCAATAGACAGGAATTCAGCACGTGTCTTGCACTGAGCGAGATTATATCGGAACGACATGGCTTCGTTTGGCCATTCCCCTCATGGCGTTTGTAGCCACCACAGATGCCAAAGGGGGCTCTGGACGGGTGCGAGGGGCTGGTAACCTCTCCACCTTCAATGAATTACCACAAACCCACGTGCAATTTTTAAATTAAGTTTGTGCCGAAGGCACCGGGGGGACAGGTGTCTATGATGTCTCCTGGCCAAACCCCATTTGGTGGAGCCAGGAGACTGAGTCTTTACCCTCGGGGCTCCTCCAGAAGCAGCAAAAAACCACTGCGGGTGGCCACGTGGAATGTTCGAATGCTCACTGCGGAGGAGAGGCTGCCACTTCTCTGTCAGGAGCTGGACCAGTATCGCCTGGATCTCTGTGGTATTCAGGAGGTCTGGTGGACTGGCTCTGGCTCCTGCCACCATGAGGGGTGGACAGTCCTCTACTCGGGGCAGGAGACTGCCAAACAACAGAGAGTGGCTCTCATTCTGAACAAAAGAATGAAGGGGGCATGGGAGCATGGCGGTGAGGTGTGGGAAGCTGTAAGCCCCAGGCTACTTTGGGCTCGACTTCCCATCAACCAGAGGTGAGGAATGGTGGTCGTGGTTACATATGTTCCCACCGAAGACGAACATCCGTGGAGGCTAGAGAAGAGATGGAATGATGTGGTACGGGAGGATGTGGAGCTGAGTGGACTTGCCGATTACTGGTACCAGCGGTGTCAAGATCGGCCTCTGTGGAGGAGGCTCGTGAAGGACGCTACTGGGCAGTTGGAGGCAGTCGCCCTC